TGTGAGTGTGTGTGTGTGTGTGTGTGTGTGTGTGTGTGTGTGTTTTGTTAATAGGTAAAAATAAAAATCAAGTAATTACAACTGTGAAAACAAACCACGCACGGTTACGAAGGAAAAAAAAAACTAAGATTAAATAATTTTGTAATACATATGGAAATAAAATATAGGGGATATACTTCTTAATTTACGTTTGTCTATTTGCATTTGACATTGTTTATGGTTAAAAAAAAAAATCACAATCAGATGACTTTTAATGAACTATAAGAGTGAGCTTGATACGCGTCCGCTCTAGAATAGCTCAGTAGTTTGAGTCAGAGGATTATTATGCGGATTATCTGCTATAGACAAGTGATCCAACCCCACACTCCCTTACCTTCCCCTGTGCTTTCAACCTATAGCAATAATGAGCAGAAAACAGCATGCACTCAGCGAATGAGCTGCTTTAGTGAGAGAGATGAATGGCGTTCATACTGGGAATACGAGGTAAATTTATATTCAGTTTTCTTTCATCTGAAAATTAAAATAGCCTCACCTTGACTTTATGAAGCCAAGGTCTGAACTAAACACAGATCAGCAACATTACTCAGTGTCAAAAGCCTGGGGTAGGCTAGGTGACCTGTTGAAAAGCCTGTTAGATGTCCTGCAAAGGTAATTGAATATTCCCCGAACACGGCCTTAATTTAAAACAGACGCACAACTGCAGCGAGTGCGCGGGGGTGGGGATTAAAGAAAAACTGCTCGGGTTTCTCTAATGTGGTCCGCTGTGTCGATTAGAATAACATTCTTGCTAGACTGTCTGGAGCTCTAGGGATCTTCGAGGATGGCAGTGAGGCATCATTAGATGTGATCGCTTCTAATGGCGCTCGGTGGATTTAATCTTCATCGCGGAGTGAAACGCGTCCTCGACACCCGGATGTTGCGAAGATGCGCTCGTGGAGCTCAAGGCATCAGCATCAGCATCAGCATCATCCACACTAGTCAAAACATGATAGATAAGATGGTTTAATACAGCCACACGAACTGGAATATAACAAATAATAAAAACAGATTTTAAATGTGTAGGAGGGGATGGACGAGCCAGAGGAACCGACTGAAGGTAAACAAAATCCTAGATGTGACTTATGGACGAGTTTCTTTTCGTTTAATATTAAAAGGGCTTAACTGAAAGGAACTGGTGACACTGTATTTAAAAGTGAAGTGTGCATATCCGTGTTAAAGTTGTGTAGAATGCTTCAGTGTACATCATACTAGTCTTTATAAGCGAGTATCATGGTGAAAGATTCGAGTAGATGTCATATAAAATATAAACTGAAAGATATATATATATGTTTGTTTGTTTGTGTGTATCATCAGATAGCCTACCCAATGCAACAACTAATGTTAAAGATTCGAACCTTGTTGTGAAGTCCATCTGACACATTGTTTGATTGAAGAGTATTACAAGCTGCTTTACACAATCAATTCTTATCAAGTAGTGGCCTCAAAAAGTATTTGGAGTGTAATTTATTGTAAAGAAAGACTCTTTACAAGCCTACCATTTGTCAAAGAAAGAACTTTCTTTGTTTGGAAATGTTAAAGGGGACTTTGGATGTCCATTTTCTACAAGTTGCTATGATTCCTTAGGGTCTTCATTAAATGTCTGTAACATACTTTGGTTAAAATTCCTCGTGGTCTTGTAAAACAACACCATTTTTACTTTGTCAAAAACAGCTCTGTTCACATGCAGCGAAGACAGTCGGTATTGTATGACTTTGTGTTTTGTTTGTGGTTAGTGGTACTTGTTCATATAGTTAAGGTGATGAGCTACACAGGACACCTGTGTGAACAGAACAGCTCTCAATTCTTGCTCATGAGTCCAGTGTGAAGACAACCAAGCGAACAGAAAGCAGACATTTAATTTTGTTTTATGCTGTAAAGGTTTGTTGACACACTTGTTTGGATCATCTTCAGTCCTCGGGTTATAGTTAAAGAATTCTGTGTTTACAGCTTTTCTAGTAATTTCTTTAGATTGACATTAAAGAAGTCTGTTTAAAGAGGTCTGTTTGTTCATGTTAATGTGGATGGTGTATTAGTAAAAGTGAACAATTTTTGATTGAAAAAATATTTTAGTACTCTGGATTGTAAAATAATTAAATGTTAATCACATTGATGTTGATATTTGACGGTACGATGTTTCACTTCCTCTTCCTAAAATACTACTAGTTGTGCTTATACGCCTGTAACGCTCGGACTTATCGGCCGAATTAAATGTATTTAAAATGGAGTCAGATTAAACTGTGTGAGATAAAATAAGTGCTTTAAAAAGATGACAACAACAAAAGTAGAATGAATAAATAGTGTATTTACATAATGCACAAGGAACTTAAAACAACACAATAAAACTAGAATAACTTAGGCTGTTAAAAGCAGATTGTCCATTTAAATCATACCCTAAAACAGTTCTTAAGAATCCTAGTGTGTTGAAGTCCCAAGGTAAAAGTGTCCACCGGTGTATATACAATCCAAATAAAGTGATAATCCAAAATGAGTGGGATACTGGAAAGGTAAGTCCATGAACAACTCCTCAATCCAGCGAGTAGGTGTTTGGTCAATGACCCTGATTGTTTGACATGCTGCTTCCTTTGTACTGGTTTACTTCCTTATTCCTGTCATGTGATTGACCACCTGACAGGCAGACCCATGAACCATTTAAAGACATACACACATCAAATAATTAAGAGGATTAAAATGGCTAAGACAACATGTAAAACCATTAAAACTCAAATATATAGATAAAAAACCATCTTAATATATATTGAGTGGTAAAAACTTGTGTTTTTGTGTGGCAGTGTCACACGCCATTCGGTGTGCAAGAATAGAATTAAATAATTATGAAAACATTCAGTATATTAGTATATTACAATTTCGGTTTGGAGGGCAGATTTCATGTCTGGTCAGCTATCCTTGTGGGGACTCTCCATAGGCGTAATGGTTTTTCTACTGTACAGACCGTATATTCTATTGCCCTACTAGCTTGTTTACCCGTGGGGACCTCAATTTAGGTCCCCACCGTGACACGAGTCCCCACGAGTCTGTGTGTATTCAGGTTTAAGTCCCCACCAGAATAGAAAAACAGGTACACACACACACACACACACACAAATATTTTAATGCAGGACAGAAGTAAACTAGGCGTTTAAAACCAACATACAAAACCATTGCAGATCATCTGATGACAGCCATGGATAAACCCAGGAATATTCTCTTCATTTGGAAAAACTCCGTTTTGGAGTAAAATAACTATTTTCGATTTGCCAAAAACCTGAAAGTGATGTTTCTTCAACGTGTTTTGATTGTGCACTCAGCGCTGAACTCCTCCAGCCATTCATGCAACAAGTGAAAACAGACTAGTGGTGTCTGTGATTGGGGTTGCACTATAATATACACAAATAATACAAATAATATTTATGAATATACAGTCCATCTATTTATTCTCCTGAATTGCTTGTATTTTTAAAGACGATTCATTCTTTTCTTTTCTTTTCTCTCTCTCCTGTCTGTTTTTCAGGGGCAAACTATGCCAGTGGCACCAGAGCCCCCGTCTCTAGTGATGCCCCTCCCGTCTGGTCAGAAACGCTGTCAATCACCAGCCATCACTCGCCGGCCCAGTCCGCCGCGCTCTCCTGGCAGGCCGCGATTAATGCAGCCAGACAGTCTCAGGGCACCCCCAAAACCATGAACTTCTCTGCGGCTGCAAGCACTGCTCTGGCCGGCTCGCTCGCCCAGAGGAAACGCCAGCAATATGCCAAAAGCAAGAAACAGGGAAGCATCACTAACAGCAGACCCCCAAGAGCACTTTTCTGCCTGACTCTCAATAACCCTGTGCGCAGAGCGTGCATTAACTTAGTGGAGTGGAAGTATCCTTACATCAGCAGAGATGGTGATCTTCGATTACACTGACCTGTAGGAAAGATGCTAATTTACAGAATCAAATTTGCTGTCTGGAGTTATCAACACAGTGCATTCACGCCATGACTTAGCTATTGATTTAAAGGGATAGTAAAAAATGAACATTTTGTCATCATTTACAACTTTCAAACTTTCAAACTTGAAACAATTTTCAACCCAAGCTCATTGAAAATGTGGCAATGTTTCTGCAACACCGATGTTATGTGCCTTATTGCACGTTTTGTGGCAGTTTCAAAGTGAAATGTCCAGTGATTGTCGCTAAAAAGCACGTTCAATACGTGACCGTGGCCAAGTTTTTATTACTTTGGTTTAGGCACATATTGAGACGGTTCAGAATTCAGATGTCCGGGAGCTGTAATTTCACAGGATTCGTACCAGAGCAAACCTGTGTTAAAAACCCCATCCATATGAAGCTGTGTATGTGACACTAATGTTCAGAAGTATCAGTTTTAAAATTTTGCAGCATGTTAAAATTGTTTTGAGGTCATAACATAATATTGTGCAAGTAAATGTGCGAAAATTAGGCTTTTCTTAATCGAAACTCTGGCCCTGTAAATAAAAATTTGTGTGAAAAGGAATAAAAGTTGTCTGAGATTAACTGCCTCCAGTGTTCATTTCAACTGGAGTATGATTCATACGTATAGGTAAATTTTTTGAGTTTTGCAGAAACGTAGCTAGAGGCACATATTTCCAATTAGCCTGGGTAGTTTTCTTTCTTCTGCCAAACACACAAAACACCAGTGAGGTTTGATGTTATTGGGGTCAAACTTCATTGAGTCAGTGAGAGTTGGAATAAAGCACTGCAGTTTACATCACCCTTGTGTCTTTTTTGGAGCTTTTGAAACCCACTGACTTTTATTATATGGAGAAAAAGAATATTGTTTTTGTGTTCCACAGAAGAAGGAAAATCATAAGAGTTTAAAACAAGTCCAATTGGAACTGAGAGCGCAATTGTATCTCATAATGTTTGTTTGTTTATTATTTAACCAGACAAGTCAATTAAGTAAAGTATCTTAAAATAATTAAGAATTAATTTTTTAGTTACAAATGCAGTCTGGCAGATTGAAAGACGACATTATTTCCTCATTCTCTTCCCCCATAAACTTTAAATTCCCGCCTTCTAACTATAAAATGACTCGTCACCCTGGGTCATGTGATCATAAACAGTAAAACGGCTTCCTTGAAGTGACCATTGGATGTACCCTTCGCTAAAGGCCTTGAGGGAGGGCACGTCCTGAAGGGGTTACACACTTTGATTTGAAATGACCGCAATGCCCTTTAAAGAAACAAAAATGCCGTTGGAACTCACCATGCATCTCCGCAGTCTAACATGTCAGCTTCAGATGTGAGATTGGGGCAGGACTATTAGTTTGGCTGACCAGTATTGGGTGGTGGGAGTGTTTGGAAACAATTACTAGTTACAGAAATGTCCTGCAGCAGCTTTAAGACTAAAATGCCTCATAATATCACTGCCATGACATAGGTTACAGTTCTCGAACATGAGAGAAACCAGCTTTGAAAGTTTCAAATACAAAAGATTGCAGTTTTTCTTTCTAATCAAGTTTGATTGGTTGGGATCATTTGGGAAATGGATGATGTTTTCATATTTGTCCTTAAACACATTATTTCCAGACCTTTTGATATCTTTATACTGCTGTCAATATTTGCCAACTGTGTGGCCTTAGCTGTTTACATCCCCTTTCCTGAAGACGATTCCAACTCAACTAATCATGATTTGGTGAGTACTGTGACGTCTCTTCTGATTTCTCATTGGCTGAGTTATGGGATTCGTTTCTGCTAATTGAGATTAGACGAGTGAATTACAGTGGAATTACACAAGCCCAAAGGCGAATTTGCAAACACTCAAAAGGTGCTCATCCATGCTGCTCATGTTTGTGTCTTTAGGTATATGAGTTGTCTGCTGTTTAATTGCTCTGTTGCTTAAGTGGAAATAGGGTCTCTTTAGTATCTCATTTGTATCTTCTAGACCACTGGTTTTATTTAATATCCATGCAGTAGTGGATCATATTGTTTTCATATACTGTGTACATTAAATCTTGAAATAAATGCACTGATAATGTCACTCTAGGTTCATTTTCTGGACCATTTACTGTACAGTAGGTGCCTGGAGCTGTCCATGGTGCTGAAACCATCCTGCTCACTACATAGCCAGCATCATTTACATAACTTCATTTGGCATTCATTATATTCAATAGATAAAACTTCAGTGACATTTGTGGCCTTTTGAGCGTGAACTGTATGTTTTTGACTTGGCCATTCCATAACTTTAATATTCTTGTTTTTTGACTTGCTTGTATGTTTCAATCACTGTCATTCTGAATTCCTCAACTGTGCTTCAGCTGAACTAAACATGCTTGCAGTGCTTGTGGCTGTTGTAGTAGTTTTACACTGAAGCTTGTGTGTGCAGCACAGACACAAAGCACATGTTTTTCTGTTGACTGAGGAAGACAGTCTGTTTATCACTATGCCTCTTATTTATCTCATTAGGCATGTCATGGCATTGATCATGATTACTCATAGTGCCACACACGCAGACACTTGAACACAGTGTTATCTGCTCCATCCCCAACTCAGAAGGCTAGGTACTGTATCTATTAAGCACAAGGTCTGGAAACCCCAACAGCCCCTCCGACTGCCTGATATGTGCACCCAGCCCGCTTGATCACCAGCGAACCACTTGACGCCACAGTGACCTGCATACAGTCACATCACAGCGCCTCCTCCTCACATCACCACCAAACTGATTCAGTGTAGCATCACAAACAGCTGCTTCGTGCCAGTTACTTTACCATTTCTGCCTTTTTTCCAAGCAGAGCGGTGACAGTGATGAGAGGGTAATGTGATCAAGAAATGATACTAGAGAAGTTTAACCTTGAATGGGTCAATGTGTTGGACCATGCTAATCGCTTGACCACAGTTCTGGCAACTAAGAAAAATTGACAGGTATTTTTCAATTACCTTTATATCATGCATAGATTGTTTCCATTTTGTGGGTGTGTGCAGGACACCTATAGCATCTCGTCTAGGGTCCAAAATTAACCATTTCTGAGCACCAAGTTTAGTTTAAGTTTATACAGGGGCAATGCACATTAATGTGCCAGAATCAGCCAGAAGGCTATTTTTCATCTGTAGACCCTTAACAGAATGTTAAAAAGTCACCCTAAAAAAATAAATCATACTAAAAACATTGCTGAATTGTATTGTATAGAAAAAATATCTAAACTTAAATTGTGCTACATAAGAGGTAAAAATAGACTGGAGAATAACAAAGTATTAATTAACCATTTTTTAAGATAAAAGATAAAAGAACCATATGTATCCAGTCCTCTAATTGTCTTTAGCTGATCACATGCATGATTTTTAGTGAATTGATCTCATAAATCAAGTGCAGGTAATAGTTCATTGTAACAGTTTCTGGACTTCATACAGTTTAGTTATCATGACACATACTGTTGTTACGGAAGGAGACTCACACAGAGGGTTAGAGAGATACAATGATATTTATTTTCAGCAAGTGAAGCAGAGGGTAAGGGCAGGTGAGTATAAAGTTAGTTCGGAAGTCCTTATTATAGTTCGGGAAGATGAGGAGAGATAACTCTAGTATGGGAATTCCCAGGAGATCGTGGAAGGGAGACAGAGGATAGCACACACCTCAGACGATGAGTGACGGGGTATCCACGGAGCAAGAGACTGGAACGAACACAGGAGGAAACACAGGAGGTAAGTACAACTGGTAGGTAAGTCTTTCAATGAATCTTACGGATATCATAGAGAGAGAGTCCACTTCGTTGGAATGAGATCGGACACTGGAGTGGTGTGAGGTGTGTGCTTATGAATGGGAGCTGAGGGTGATTGTTAATCCGTGACAGGTGCGTGTGATTAGAACTCAGGTGATGGTGTTCACTGTGATTGCGAGGTGGCTGAGCCTGGCCGATCTGTGACAGTACCCCCTCCTCCATGGCCCGCTCCTGAAGGCCGAAAACCCCGATGTCGTGGTGGCCTACCTCTTCCTCGGGGCCCTGGGCGAGCTGGATGGGTGGAGTGAAAGGCTTCCAGTAGCGTAGGGCAGGCGCATCCTGATGTCCCGTGTTGACAGCCATAACTTCTGCCCGGGTTGGTATGATGGGGTCTCAGCCCTCTGCCTCTGCGTCCCAGGCCCTCTCGCTCTCTCGGAACCAGTAATCGACAGAGGGAACATCCGACGGTTCCCCGGACCAGGGGAATAGGGGAGGCTGGTACCCGAGTACGCACTGGAAGGGAGTGAGTCCAGTGGATGGCTGACGAAGAGAGTTCTGTGCATACTCGGCCCAGCCTAGGAACTGGTTCCAAGAGTTCTGGTGGCCATGGCAGAAGGTTCGTAGAAAACGCCCAATCTCTTGGATCTTCCTTTCGTCTGCCCGTTAGACTGGGGATGGTATCCAGACGAAAGGCTTATGGTCACACCTAGGAGGGAGAAGAATGCCTTCCATACTCTTGAGATAAATCGTGGGCCACGGTCAGAAACTATGTCTTCAGGAATTCCATAGTATCTGAAGATGTTATTAAACATTATCTCCGCGGTTTCCATGGCTGTGGGTAGGCCCTTGAGGGGGAGAAGATGACAGGATTTAGAGAATCTATCAATGACTACTAGAACACATGTGTTACCATCCGAGGCCGGCAGATCGGTGATGAAATCAACCCCTAGGTGTGACCAAGGGCAATTGGGAATGGGCAGCGGAAGGAGCTTGCCAGATGGTAGGTGGTGATGAAGTCAACTCCTAGGTGTGACCAAGGGCAGTTGGGAATGGGCATCGGAAGGAGCTTGCCAGATGGTAGGTGGCGTGGGCTTTTGGAGATGGCGCAGTCGGAACAGCTTTGGACGAACCTTCTCACATCCCTGGCCATATTGGGCCACCAGAAGCGATCCTTCAGCAGCGAGATGGTGCTGTTGGCCCCTGGGTGGCCAGTGCCCAGAGAAGTGTGGACGGAGTGGATCAGGGAAGTGCGTTGTGCTCTGGTGACATATTGTGCTCCTGGTGGACAGCCCGGCAGAGTAGGCGTGGAAGCATTGGTGGAGGTATCCGGGTTGTTGACTGACGATGATTTCCGTGGGGATTATGGATTCTGGTTCTTCATTGATTTCTTCAGGAGCATGGAGACGAGAGAGGGCATCTGCTTTCACATTTTTGGGGCCTGGATGATAGGAAATGGTGAAATTGAATCTAGTAAAGAAGAGAGCACATCTTGCCTGACGAGGATTGAGTCTCTTAGCGTCTCGTAGATACTGCAAGTTCTTATGGTCAGTGAGGACACTGAATGGATGCTGAGCTCCCTCCAACCAATGCCTCCATTCCTCCAGGGCTAATTTGATCACAAGGAGTTCCCTGTTGCCGATGTCGTAGTTTCTCTCCGCCGGGCTGGGTTTGCGGGAGAAGAAGGCACATGGATGGAGTTTGGCTGGAGTCCCCTGCTGCTGCGAAAGCACCCGTAGTGGAAGCGTCCGTCTCTACCACGAAAAGTTTGTTGGGGTCTTGGTGGACGAGGAGCGGTGCCGAGGTGAAGGCGTTCTTCAGTGTTTCAAAGGCCTCCGTGGCAGCTGGTGACCAGGACAGGGATTTGGGCTTGTCTCTCAGCATACTGGTGAGCGGACTGGTTATGGAACTGTAATGGTGGATGAATCTCCGATAAAAGTTTGCGAAACCCAGGAACCTTTGCAGTTCTTTGACGGTGGTGGGAACTGGCCAGTTTTGGATGGCATCCACCTTCCTCTCGTCCATCTGGATACCCCCGTCGTTGATGACATATGCAAGGAACTGCAGTGAGGACTGATGGAATGAACATTTCTCGGCTTTAAGGAACAGATGGAATTCTCTCAGGCGTTTCAGGACCTCCGCAACGTGGTGGCGATGTTCGGCCAAGCTCCGGGAGTAGATTAGGATGTCATCAATATAGACGAGGACGAACCGGTGTAGATACTCCCGGAGCACCTCATGCATAAAGTCCTGGAATACGGAGGGGGCGTTTACTAGTCCATACGGCATGACAAGATACTCGTAGTGCCCAGTAGGGGTCACGAAGGCGGTCTTCCACTCGTCCCCCTCACGTATCCGGATGAGGTTATAC